AGTTGCTGCACTGGGCTCGGAGGGGTTTCTCACTGAAGAGTCAGTCATCTTTGCATGCTGGCTTTGTAACTGACCTTTGCTTTTCCAGCTGCTTTAAATGTTGGTTATCCTTTTGGAGGAGTATCTAGAAAGCTTCAAAATAATTCAAGGCCCTTGCTCTGCTCACCCCAGGGTAGACAATGTCTTCTAGGTTAGGTTTTTTCCCCTTCCTTTCGAAAGAAGGGAGGTTGAGGAAAGGTTAGGGATAGAAGCTTTCCAACCATTTGCTTAAATCTAGCAAGGGTAGAGGTCCAAGGAGCCAAAGGAATGATGTGCTCCATGATGACCAAACCTGGCTGAATTTTTGGAGGGATTTCAATGTCTAAGACCTCAACATGGTGACAAATCTTGCCCTGTGTTACTAAGCAGTGTCTTTACTCTCCTAGCTTTTCATGATTTTGAATTGTATTCTACTTAAATCCTTCAAGTAATAACGTTTTTAGTAATGTGACCAGGGTAGAAAGGAGGTATGTGGACTAGAAGTTGTCTTGGCTGAAATAACCCTGAACTGGCAAGTTAGGCTGGCAGACCTGTTCATCCAGCTTCATTCCAGTGCCTAGAACAGATGATGTTTATTTCATTCACCTGCCAAAGTTAAGAAGAATTCTTCCAGGTGACAAACTTGGTGTGGTTGGCTCATAGAACAGCCCTATCTTGCTGCTAAAGCTTGTCTTGATAGATTTTTAGTGAGTAGCTTATTGCTTGTTTTAAGGAGAGAACTTGAACGTTTCTGCTGGCCTGGGAGGTTATCTGTCTTATTTTACTACAAAGCTGTCCTGGAGCCTGATTTTTGCCCCATTCCATGGGATATCCTGAGGCCAGAGGAGAGGTTCTTGCTTTGATCCATGTTCTTGGCCAAGCCAAATATGCCCTCGACATTGAGAGTAAACCAATAGACAGAAAACACTGAGGCTGGCAGAAGGGAGGCAATCCAGTGGTGCTGTAGGCAGCTCAGTAAGACCATGACAGCTGAAACTGTTTTTGCTTGCCCTGTTTTCAGGGGTGTCTTCTCAGAGTGAGCCTGTCTACCTTTGGGTTGAGAACTGCAAAAGGCTAAATTACTTCTTGGCTTGTTTGGAGTCACGTTGTCACTTCTTAATGGAATCCTGGAAACTTGGATCACCCCAGCACGATCCTGTGTCTGTGCTGGACAAGGATTCAGACAAGCCTTCAGCTGTCACGTATTCCCAACAGTGTTCTTCAGTTCACTGAATCGGTATCTGTTGTCAGTTCTGCTACAGCAATCCCAATGGAGAAAATGCTTTTTCTTTTCCCAGGAGAACAAGGAACTTAATCGATTAACTCTTCTTGGCTCACCAAAGTTGTAGCATCCTTCAAGGATGTCTGACTGAAAAAAAGGATATTCTGAATCTCTGCCTCTGACAAGACTAGCTATTCAAGGGTGAAACGAGTTCTTTTCTGTGTTATTCCTATGCAGTGAACAATACCTCTGTCTATTAAAGCTAGAAAATGCCCAGCTTTAATTCTGTTTGGACAAGCTGATGTCTGAGAATGTTCTCCTATGATGGCAGGAGCATGTTCTTTCCGGAGCCTGTAAGGGGTGGGAAATTACTTTGGCTCTAAACCTTAGTTCACAGGTGCTGGCTATGTAGCCACTCTAATGGCTTCTTTCCCTGAAATGTTTTAGCCTTCATGCTATGGTGGAATCAATCTTTTATGATCAGTTGTTCTCCTGACCTCTGGCAAGTTTTGACTTGGTTTTGAATTCCCGTGGGGTTCAGTGGCTTGTAGCTACCATGGTATTTTAGCGTTGAGAATGGGAATAACTAGGTAGTCAAGTATCTGTAGAGTTTAACATGTGTCACTGCATTTTAAAGACTAGGGCAACCTGTAGTGATTTATATAGAGATTTCTGGTGTTCTCATGATGTTTTCAGATCCTAGGGTTGTGACTTCTAACCAGTGAGGTCTCAGTACCTTATTCTCTTGCCCCTCCTTTTCTTGCTAGAGAGGAAAATCAATCAAGGTATCTTTTAGCACCTGCCCCACTAAGGTGCTGGGTCTAATATGGCTCTGTCAAATTCCTTTCTCCAATGCCCTCTGCAGTGTGACATGCTATGGCTCCTGCTTTTCAAATAAGCTGATAAGGAAGGAGGCTTGCTCCCTGCAAGCAAAGTATTTCACGCTGTCCAAGTAACTTCTTTTCCTCTTGCCCTTTGATCACTAAGCCTCCTGGTTGACATTCATTGCTTCTCCCTTCTAGTGTCATTTTTCATTCACAGGCCCAGTAACTCTTTGGGGTCATTAATATCTCAGTCTCCACTGTTCTTCCACAAGAAGATCCAATTTCACCATAAGTGCAGATGGGGACAAGGAGCAAGAGGGAGAGGGTGAGATGGTAGTAGCCTGGTGGGGAGAGCAGCTGGGTGGAATGGAAGACTTGCTGGGAAACGTTGCTCTGGGAGGCACATCAGATGACAGCATTTTGCCTTATTCCCTTTTGCAGTAGCAGGGCAACATGATGTAGGTGCTTTGGACCTCCTGAAGGGTCATGTCCTTGCAGTCTCCTGTGGTGATGCAAGAGAGCATCTTACAGGGCTGGAAGGCTGTTTAGGTGTTGAGTGATGTTAAGGCTTACATAAAGCACCCCCTTTGGCATCACTGCTCCCAGGGGCTGTACAGAAGGCTTCTGCTGTGGTTTGAAAGAGTTCCCTGTCTGAGAGCAAGCAAGGGAGATCGGTGTCAATGTAAAGACCATGTTTTATAAAACCAGAAAAAGGCATCTCGGGAGAGGGGTTTCTGTGGAGCACAGCTACAGGTCGTGCTGTGAGACAAAATGTGACTTCTGGATTCCTGCACAGCCCCTTGTGTTTAATGGTGTGGATGAGCTCTGGCTGTAATCTGGCCCTCCATGAGGTATTGAGGCTGACTTCCCTTTCCCTACCCATTGTCAGGACTCTCTCAAGAGCCTAATACCCCTATACCTGTCAAATTAGGATTGAAATTGGGAAAATAAGACCAAATCCCCTCTTATAAGAGGGACAAAGACCACAGAAATTACAATATTTGCTGGTTTCACTTCAACTGATGTGGTGAGAATATTTTTCTTGCAACAGCTCAGTCTTTCTCACGATCGAGTTTGGTTTTTGTTTTTAACTTGATTACGTATTTTTATATCGGCCTGCAGATAAAACATGTCTGAAAATCCTAAATCAGTATCTTTCACAGTTTTATTTCCCACATGCTATAAAAGCATCCTTACAAAACTCATCTAAAGAGTGGAAAGCATTTAGTTTTCTTCCTTGGGGCTTTGTCCCTGTGCATCTGCAAGGCGAGCCATCAAAAGATAGCAGAGCCAGCCAAGGATGTTTTAATCCAATTGACTTGTGATCAGGAATTCAAGAAACTTAACTGCAAAAAAAGCACAAAGACTGACACAGTTCCATTTCCGTGTCTTCTTAGAAAATGCACATTCCCTTTGGAAAGTGTGAGGTAAATGCACAAATACACAGGAACACCCAAGTATTCTACATGTCTTCTTACTCTTTTTGTGATTATTCAGTAACTAGGACCTATGTTTAACGGGGTAATTGGATCATCAGCACCAGAAGCAAATAAAAACCCTATAATACGTTCAGTCAAAACTAATGATGGAATTCCAGAGCCCTGTGGATCACTCTGTCTTCAGCGTGCCTTGGGATTTGAAAATCCAGCTATAAGCTGACAGAACACTCGATAAATGATGCCATGGGAAGTGGTCTCAGTGACTTCATTAGTCTTTCTTATCTTCACTGGATCTGTCACGCAGCTCTCCACGCTTCACTTACGGAGCAAATATACTGCCTTTGCGCTAGGGTATTTGTTATAGGGGACGGGGCAAAAAGCAATTGAGGATGATTATATAATCTGTAATTGATAGATCCTTTTCTGAAAGGTCCTTTAGAATCGACTAGACTAGACTAGTAACAGTAGCACTTTATTTCCTTACTCCTGAATAACAGGTAAGAAGAAAGTTTCTTTGAGTTTCTTAAAGGGCTCACATGACCTTACTACAGGGACAACCTTTAGTGTATCACAAAGTCACTGTGAGATTGTGATCAGTCCCTTGAAGGGATTCCAGTTTATAGATGAAATTAACTGAAATGCTGGCATATCTCCAGCAGGGAGTAGAGGACAGTGCAGAAATTCCTGGGCCAATTACATCCATGAGGTTCAGCGCGACACCTTAAAGAGAAACTATCCAGGAGCACCAAAATGGGATAACTATCATCAATGGTGCACTATCTGATCCAATAATCCTGCCTCCCAGCAAAAGCTAATTGGGTTGGGCATGGGGATGTTCTAGAAGTCCACAAATTCTGGCAGAAAGCTCCACTGCAACGTACAGATAGGTGTATTTATCAGGGGGAAAACAGTGACCGGGTTAGGATGATCTGTGACAGAGGAGGAGGTAAGTTCAGTCCACCCTGAAGAGCCTGGATACCGCTCCGCTCCGGTAGTCAAAACAAAGAGGGCGGTAGAACGCGTCCTTGACAACAGCGAGCATCAGTTTGTTGTGGCAACAGCACTTAGGAGGTCAGCCAAGGGCCAAGGTCAGAACCTCTGCAGTCACTGTCTCGTGTTCTTTGAACTGGGACAGCTGGTTTCACATTTTACGTGTGGAAATCCTGTGAAGAGATTGTTGCCTTCTGTTTAACCTGCTACCTGCTCCGCCTTTGGACATCAGTTAGCCATGGTAATCAGCTTGCTTTACTTTCTTCCTCTTCTGCGCCTCTTCCTCAAACTCAACAAAACCCAATTATCTTAATTGCATAAATCTTTAGCAGATGTAAAATCTATGCCCTATATCACTTTTATAGAATGAAGCAAGTACTGTGAGCCTGGAAACAAGAGGCTGAACTCTTAGTTCACAGGCTGAAATGTCTACCTAGCTGTGGTCACTTAAAAGGATAATGTGGATTTCTATCTAATGACTAGAAGTACCCTGCAAGTTCTGATCTGATGATCCTGGAGGCAGTAAGAAACTCCCTAGGCTGAAGTAGATTTTCAGACAAGGTTTATTTCCAGGAAAGAAAAGCCATCCTTATCTGAGCTGCGGAAAGATATTGTTTGGTTTTAACCAGCCAGGCCCTCATTAAATGTTGTCAAAATTTTCTTCACATTTTCAAATCAGAAAATTTTTATATGGTGGATATGTCATATTTTGTAAGACGACATTCAATGGAAGATTTCCAACTTTAGGAACACCATTTTTAAAGGGAAATAATGAATTTTAGGTAACTCTTGAGTCAATATACAAATGTGTGCATAATCAATTGAACGAATATTCAGGTTGACTTAGATGACCATATTCTATTTTCAACTATCAGCTTAAATATTAATTTATCCTCCCTCTATCTAATTTACTGCAGAAAGACATCGCAGGCACTTCAACATTGTCTTCCAGTTCAAACAATGAAAAGGAGAGCATGGACGCTAAGCGTCCTATAGGATGTTTGGATATGGGAGAAACCAGCAGTTCGCAGTCAGAAGTGTCCACCGAAACAGAGGAGGTCTGTGACCAGAAGGTCACAGGAATTAATCTTGAGCTTGAGAAGTTGAGGTGGCATTTTGTGCTGACTAAACTGAAATGTGAACAGGAGGATAAGGAAAAGCAAAGGCTTCATGAAGAGAGAATGGAGCAGATTCGTCATCAGGCAGTAAAAGGATCGGTAAGTAGGCAAACACAAAAAGGGATGAACACAGTAAAGACTGAAACATTCACATGACATGAACCCAGGACAATATGTTAAGCAGTTTGCAAGATTTTATTCTTTTAGGTGTTGAGTAGTCCTGGGACTTCTTTTAAAATCCTGACTAGGTGATCTTTACAGCTTGTACACAAACTTAAGGAGAATGGAGTTGTTCCACTCTGTAGAATATGACCTGTGGCAACATTCATTGCTATAAAATATATTAAAGAACAGTTAACTCACAATTAAGAGTATGATGTAAGGATCCAAGAACACTTTTTTTCCTTACTTCCTCCCTCCCCATCAGAGGGATTGCTCTGAACACCACTTTGATCAGGTTTCTGTTTCTACAGAAATTGCTAGTGGGAGCAATTTCCTGGGTTACAGTTAGATGACTTGAGATGATAAATGCATGAATAAATAATCGGATGAAAGAACCTCCCAAAGTAATGAAAGTTTTATAGACAATTAGTCAGATTTGGCAAGCCTGTTTTTTGCAGAAGTAGATGAGGTTATTGTATGCTCAGGCATATGACTCTGTGGTTAACGGTAGTCCAGCCCAGAAGAGACCATTCTATTTGGCAGAGTTTAGCAAATGGCACAGCTGCCACTCTTGGTTGCCTGGGCTCTTCCTGATCACATTGGCTGTCTGTGGGCTCAACTCTCCTCCAGTTTAATGCAATTTCTCATTAGACTGAGAGATTAAGAGGAGTATCTGATTCTAAATCATCAGAGTTTTAGAGGTACTTGCAGCGTTTGCCTTCTCTTGCAGATTCTGTGCTCTAAATCAGGACAGGATAGTAGGGTATGTTTTACACACTCATTGTAGCATGCATGTTGTGGTTGTACATAGGAGCTCAGATCACACACAAGAATGGCACTGAGCTACGTACCAGATAATCTCTGAAGTTTTCCATATATATTTATTGATTTATTCATATAGCTAATCCATAGTCCTGGATAGGATCTCACAGTTATGTGAAGTAAATGTAGTTCCTATGAAATCAGTGAAGTTCTATCAGAGAAAAACAGTGAGGATCAGGTCCAGTATATATTTTGCTAGATTACTGACATGCATCTGGATTAAACAAATTAACTACTGGATTTTCTTATTAAATTAAGACCTGAGAGATTGCCCATGAACATGTGTAAAGGTGTGAAATGGCCACACAGTGGAAAACCATAGGCAACAGTTTATTCCACAGATGTAGAGACAGATGCACAAAAGCCTTACCGTGGATGTGCACTCACTTCACATGACCTGCTTTGTGTACCTGCACACTAGTTCTTGCAGTAAATATGAGGTCAGTCACCTTCATTTCAAAGAGAAAAAGCTTAACTTATGCTATGGGTCTGGTGGGGATGTGACATTTGCCACTGAACACAGCATAGCTGATGCACTTTCTATTCACATGCTGGCATATCTCACAGCAACTTTTCATGAACTGAGCGTGCCAGAGGGCCAGGTGTGCTCAGAGAAGCATGGAGTGGATGTGTGACACAATGTGTGTCTTTTCCTTTTTCTGCAGGTCAGCGAAGGACTCCAAAACGTTCTCCAGCCCTCGAACCAATATGCCTTGTTCCTTTACTGCTTCATCGTCTTTCATGTTATTTATACTTTAAAGGAGCTGGTCTTCTACGTTTTCCAAACCCATTACCTGTTCTGTTTTGCTATTGTGTACTACATTTTTAAAATTATTTTCCAAGATTACAGAAATAACAATAAATTTTCTTAAGAAAAGCTGCTTGTTCTACTCTTTTTGCCCCATTTTTGCTGCTTTTTTTATTATCACTACGCCAATCATACATGCAGGATTTCAGTATCATTACATGCCTATTTAAGGAAAACCAACTGATTTCCTGAAGAAAATTGTCACTGAATGGCATCATCTGGTTTCATGCTGTCTCACCAACATGTTTTGCATCATTCAGGAGCGTTCATCTATGCAAATAAAGGTACACACAATAAGAAATCATTTTGGAACATCTTCTATTTTATCTCGCCTCCTTGGATTAGCACAGTGACTTGATCTTACCTATAATGAATTATCACAGAGAGGTTTCACAGTTGTGTTTATTAGCATGGAGGGAGATGCTCGAGAGAATTTAATGATCTGTTTGCTACCATGCGCAAAAGTGGCAATGAGACATTGCTTGCTGTAGTTAAGGCTTACATACACACATTTAGAGAACTAGACCAATCAAAAATAAGTGAATAAAAGCTTTACCCAGCTGCAGTTCCTCTTTTTCCAGCAAAAGTAACCATTAGCTCTTGCTGAAATCCCAGGCCCCTTCAGCACTTTAGGATTTCTGTGGAAGGCAGTGATTCGACTTTACTTCTTTTTAAGTGACTGAAGACCTCTAAATAAGCTGCTCTCAAATCTGTGCTTTTCCTTCACTAAAATAATGAGAATGTCACCCAAACACTGGAGAGAAGTCTGTCCTTTGTTTTCTGCTGAATCTGAAAACACTGCAGATAGCCTGGATATAAATATGGTTTGCAATAGCACAAGTGACTTTGAATGCTTCTCTTCATTGTTGGTGACTCTTGGATTTTAATCAACAGAGGTTGTATGAATCTGTATGAATATTAAGTCAAATTACAGCTACAAATATAGAACCATAGAACTCTCCCCCTTTATTCCACTTTGAGCAACGTGGTCTAGTGGAAGGTGTCCCTGTCCACAGCAGGGGGTTCAAACTCGATGAGCTTTAAGGTCCCTTTTAGCCCAAACCATTCCATGAATCTGTGGTGTAATGGTTTGGGTTGGAAAGGACCTCAAAGCTCATCTAGTTCCAACCCAGTTAGTCACAGATGTGAGACCACTAGAAGTTCCACAGCACTGTCTGCACAGAAATGCTATTTTGGAAGCTCTTTCAATGCCAGCTTTCGGGGAGAGGCAGAAAGAGTTATTAGTCTTTTGCATTTTATTTACTGCGCACAGGAGATAATACTAAATAGCCTTAAGACAGCTGCCTCACCATACAGGCATATTCCAAACATTCCCATATCCCCACCTAATCAGGGAAGAAAATGGGTTTGCCTGTCCCTAACAGGTGCTCTCTCGGCCCTCATGGGTACCCATGTTATACTTTTAAACATACTCCCACATTGATGAGAACTAGAGGTTTTTCTTTAAGTGGCAATTTCTGTGCAGCTGCCTGCCTTCTGGCAGCTAGAGCTCAAAAAACTGCTGAAAATCATTGTAGGTGAAGTCTTAAGAAGTATCCATACAGCATAGAACAGAATAATCCAAGCTCCTCCTTAAACGCTTCAGGTCCTCTGCACTTTGGTCAGCTCTTGCCCTTCACGGGAGTGACAAATACACCCTTTGAGCTGCCTGGCTGTGCCCTGTGCCCTTACTTTTACAACAGTAGGCACACTCATCACAAAGTACACGGTTTCCTGTGAAACCACAGGAAACCGGTGGTTTCAGCTATTTTAAGCCTAAAAGGAGACAGTATTTTACAGCTGGTTTGATTTCAAGAGAACCACAAGAACAAGAGCTTTTTCACCCTCAGGGTTGCAGCATAAAGTTATCCCTGAGTTCCAGAAGCCACTCCAAAGAGCCCAAATTTCACAATTACAAATAACACATTCGAATTCCCATGTGCTTCAGCAGCTGATTTGTGATTTATTAGCACCTGAATTGGGAATTACTGATCCTGGCAAAACAAAATGTTTGTCAATTTACCTGCTACAGTCAAGGCTACATTCAACAGCATTTATCTATTGCTCTCCCATAAGAATGATACCACCTGCACCAAACCGAAGGGCGAGCTTGGAAGGGAAAGGAAGACACCAACCCACCAGCGAGCCGAAACTCATTTCATATTTAGCAACTTCATTCCGGGGCCCTCTAGCCAGCAGTGTTTCTGTACGAAAGCTGGGGGTTTTAGAAGCCTGCGAGGTCAGTTCTGTTGCAAGAGCTTTGCACAGGTTCTTTTCAGTTAGTCGGTGACTTCAGACCTCAGATTGACACCCTGAGCCCAAGCTGAGCTCCCACCTCTACACAGCCTTAACAAACCTGCTCAAAACCTTCCTCTGTCTTATTTACGTTGTTCTTTCTTTGCAGTGCAAGGCTAAGGAGAGGGGACAAGAAAAAGGGCAGTGCAACGGAAAGGAAGATCTTGCCAGCCCATCATCCACTGTTTCCACCCCCAGCGCTGAGCAGCTCAAATGAGTCCCAGCTGAGACTTGTTAGAGGGCAAGGTACATCACTGGGACCCTCTGCTCGCGCTGACCCGGTCGAGCCAGGCTAGGGGCGGTCCGAGCAGCGCTCCTGTTCTCAACGCTCGCCTGACTCAGCGGCTCCTTAGGCTTTGCCCGGGGCTCGAGTATCCTGGGATAGCCTCGGGACAACCTCGGGACCCAGCACCGGGAGCCCCGCCCCGGCCCGCCTCGGGCACCGCAGGGCAGGCTGCTCCGAGGGCAAGCAGGGAGCACGGGGAGCGACAGCAGAGGGATATCCCTGCTTGGAAAGGGACAAAGAAACCTCGGAGAGCTTCGGCACCGTGCAGGGGTGAGTGATACAAACCTTTTAATGCGAAGAAAGGGGTGTTACAGGTGGGTTTGTGCACCCTGATGTGTGTAACGTTAATTTTACATCTGCGTGATGCCGGAAGTGTTGTCCGGGTAAAACCCGTAATAATTTGTGAATAATGATTTGTCTGATGCGAGGGGTGAGGTAGGATAGGAGGAGAAAAAGATGGTTTTGCTGAGCCGCAGCAGGGTCCCCTGTGTGCTCAGGTGGGCTCCCGGCCAGCCTGAGCCTGGCAGGCAGAGCAGGGGGAAAGAGGGTGTCAGTAAAGGCAGAGGTGGGGACTCTGCCCTCCTGGTTCTATGGAATAATTTGTCTGTGGCAAAGTGCTATACACAGTTCTGCTGCTGAGGTGAAGTGCTGCTGCTCTTCTAGGTTGGATGCTTTTGCTCCAAGTATTTTTGGGACTGGGTTAAAGGCCAGTTCTACTTGTTAGCAGTTGTGAGTAGCTAGATTCTTCAGTATGTGCACTGGGCTTAGAGGGAGTGGGGAGAAAAGACTACTGGGTCTGCTGTTAACACCTTTTAGATTAACAGAAGCTCTGCTGAACAAAACTGTTTTAGGTCCTGCTAGGTGCTCTCTTCAGCTTTATAAACCGCTTTGTAGGTTTTACAGAGCGATTTAGGCTTCCAGTTGCAATAAAGTTGTGGGGATGACTCCCTGTTGTACAAAATTAGGGTGCAAAAAGCATGTGTTTGTGTGTGTGAATGGCTGGTCCTCCATCTCAGTGGTGGGACGTGAGGCCTGATTGGGTAAGTGCCTGCAGTTGGTATGCTACCAATCACAGCTACATGTGGGCTCAGCCTCACACCTGAAACCTCGCTGGTCCTTATCAGCTTCCATTTTCTTTCTAAAGACCCAAACTAGCTGGCCTATATTACTATAATGTTCTTGAATTATCCTTTTCTTTGTGTGTGTGTTTGGCTGTATAGGGCTGGCTTTGCAATGTGTGGTCTGTTTAAAAGCGAGACACTTTACCTCTCTGCAGAAGTGTACTGTGTCTTGGAAAGAGACTTGTGTTCTTGGCTTTTCTCTAATGAACCAAAAAGGTGTTTGCAGTGCTGTGGTTAGGTTAATTAACTCTATACTTTGGGGATTCCTTCTCATTGCTTAGTGCTCCATGGGCTCAACTCCTTCAGACCACTTGAAATACCCTGCCTTGGATGGGTGTTAGGGAAATAGTAATTTGGTTTCTTGAAAGCCACGGTCTCTTGAGGTATGTTGTTGCTTTTATTGTTGTGAAGAGAATATTAAAAGCCTTTCTGTGTGCTTTCATCCAAGGACCTTGCCATGCAGGCAGCTTCTATGACACAGCCTGGTCCAGCTTTCACTGAAACCAGTGGAAATCATTCTGTAAACCTCAGTGGTAGCTGTTCTGGCTTGCAAAAGTACTCAGGAGTATTGCCACTGCCCAGGCAGATGGGATAGTATAGCAGTGAAAGTCTTGTTACAGCCACAGAATTCAACCAGGTATGCACACTGGGCAACAACTGTGATCTGAGCTGTTTGGGGTTTCCCATGGTGTTCTGTTGGCAACAGAAGCTGGTGGAGTGTTTGTTAATTTGGAGGATTTCCGAGTACTTCAGTGAGGCAAGGAAGAAAACAGTTCTGTGTTTGCTTTCATCTGCAGCCCTGAAATCACAGCAGGGAACTTAATGTCTCTGAAGAATTTTCTCCCCTGGTGTTCTGTTTTGTGTGTTCTGCCCAAGCAAGTCAAACTGCTGTTGTGAGACTCTTGCTATCCATGTGGTTTGACCTTACTAGAGAAAACATTGAGTGTGTGACCTCTTTTACCAGGTCACTAAAATTGGACTTTAATGAAATTGGTCACCAACATGAACAAAGCTTCATGTGAATGTTTGGGAGAGAGAAAGGTGGAGAAAAAGAGTGAGGTGCACCTCTAAGATGCTGAGGGTGATTCTGTTTGAAGGGGTGGAATTTGGTGGCCTCCAGTTCCTCTGAGTGGGGTGAACATGTCTGTGAGCTTTGCCACCTGTAAGGCAAGAGCAGATGAAACAGTAGGAACTAGTAGAAGGGTTTGCCTCTTTCTAGAAGCCAGTCTGCTCACTGGCAAGAAAGAAGGTACTGGACTGGATTTTGGGGTTAACTTTTCCAGGTGGCCTTCATTAAGGATTTGAGGAGAGGTAGAGAGAACTCTGGTCTGGTGCTTTTCTCTTTCCCTATTTGTTTAGGTAGTAAAGAGAAGAGGGATAAGTAGACAGCAGGGCTGGCACAGTCTAGCTGGCTCATAGTGACATTAAATAAGAAAAACCCCAGAAGAGCCTTTGTCTTTGGGGGGAAAACAGTACCTAAATTGCAATTTTGTTGTTGCTGGTTTTGCTGTACTAGTATCTGACCTTGCAGGATCTGTGCGATTGCCTCTCGCCATCATCTTGCTGCTGGTGAACTCGGAAGCAAAGAAATGTGCCATTGAC